GAAAGAGAAAGAGAAAGAGCATGGCTTGCCGCGCTGGCAAACTTTTAAAAATGCTATTAAGCCATTGGCGCCCCTGCAGTAGGGCGACAGTAGGGCGACTCTTGTCAAGTAGAGCTCAGTACCCTCAGTACCCTCTGCTGGCAGAGTTAAATTGATTCAAAGAGCAGCTCACTCAATGTTTGTCTAATTAATAAATTCTGTTTGGCTTGTCATTGTCATTGTATCCCCGGTCGGCTGTGTTGAATGATTCAATTTTATCAATGACTAAGTAGCGACGACGAAAAAGAAGGAGGAAGCCAGAGCGCATCGGATGGTGCTCCGAGCGGGCACATAAATCAGAGTGCAAGAAGTCGAGCGAACTATCAGCTAGCAAAGTCGGCAGAACACGAACTGTCGCTTGCGCGCACATCTCTCGAGCAAACAAGACAGACCAAATTGCAACATCGAATCGCTCGCAAATTGGCTGACTGTGGACACTTGCCCACTGAGCCCCAGTCCTACAGCCCACTGTGCCTTCTCACTTGCCATCACTCGGTGTCACTCTTCCTCTCCCTTCTTCCCATCTTCCCTTTCTCCATTTACTGCTCCTTCACCGATGCTGCTCTGTAGTGCATTTTGCATTAGCTTTTTTACATTTGTCGCGAATGCGAAGCGCGGTGTCAACTCACTTAATAATTGATGCTCGTCTTGTGTTGTCTGCACGCTAATTTGCTTCGATTTCAACACGGTAACTGAACGGTGCTACCTCCTTTCAAGTAGGTCTGTCGATTGCAAGTGCAGAGGTGCGAGAGCTTTCCCCTGTCTGTTGTCTGCTCTCCGCTCTTCTGATTCAACACCGAGAACAAGAACACGAGCACGACACTGCTCCTGCAGCCAAATTGAAATGTTGATCTCTCTCGATAGATAGATAGATAGATTCACCGTGCCGCGAACGTCGGTAGCGAAGGGGCCTTTTATTAATAGGCCATTAATAGTCATTGAAACAATAAAGATTATGCGGCGATAGTGCGGCAACGGCAACTGCAGACAGAGGCAGTTGCCTGGTCTTATCGAAATGTGCCTACAGCATGTCTGAATGTCGTTGCCGATTCTGTGTGTGCTCGCCTGCTCTCTAGAGAAATCGACTTCACTCTCGGTGGCATCTTAGTGGCGCCCGTTACATGCAGTCAAATTGTTGACAGCTTGATCGATAGAGTAGATGCGCTTGCCTGATAGGCACAAAACAAATTGCGCCGCACGTTCTCCCTCTCCTGTTGTCTTCATATTCGTAAATAGAGATAAGAGAACCTCTTCCAGCGTTGCCACTCGAGCAGCAGGGCACAGCGAGAGACACTTGCCATGAGGGACCGAGCGAGAGAGGCAGACAGCTAGGCCCAGCACAGGCACAGGCACTGTGTGCTCAGAGGCAGTCTCCGATGACTGGGCAAAGACATAAGTCGCGCGTGAAAGAGCACGCACACGGTGAATCACCGTGATTGCTGAGAGAGAAGATGCTGCTCGGCCAGTGAATGATCTGATTTGCATTGCAGATGCCAGTCGGTGCGATGGTGTTACCTGTCACCGCTACCAGAAATGCCAAGTGGATGTGAAGGGAGAAGCAAAGTGCGTCTGTGCCGTCACTGGCAACTGTGACAGCCACAATCAGGGCCAACCAGGTAGGTGTTCAAAGGAAGGAGTAGGCAGGAGATGACTTGTTCTCCCCTTTACTAACTGCTCATTTGTCTGCCAAAGTGTGTGCTTCCAACCGGAAGCTGTTTTCCTCGATGTGCGAGCTGCAAAAGCACGCCTGCTTCTACAACCTCGACATTGTGCCCACCAATTTGGAATACTGTCTGGACCGAGGAGGCAGTGGGACTCTCTTTGAAGCCGGTGACAACTCCAAGGGTCACCAGTTGAAGCAGGGCGAGGTGGCCGGCAAGTGCGGCTCCGAAGTGTGCCCACCATTTGCCGAGTGTCACACTGTGGCTTCGAACCAGTCGACAGTCGGCACAGTGCAAGTGTGCCAATGTCCCAGCGCATGTCCTCAAGGTACGACACTTGGTGTGTCTGTGGAAAGTGAAAAGTGTTGCAACATGCAAGTGGGAATTCAAACTAATTGTCCAATGATCCCCAACCCGCAGATGAGGAGAATGAAGGGCCCGTCTGTGCTATTAGCGAGAAGGATGGCTATAAGCAGAACTATGCAAATATATGTCAACTGCGAGAGGATGCCTGCCAGCGGCAAGTTGAGCTGAAAGTGCTCCACCACGGTCACTGCGGTATGTCCGGTCGGTCTGCGCTGTCTGACCAACTTGTGCGCTAATTAGTGAAGTTGTGTACACTCTGCAGGGCACTGCCGCCAGCCATGCCAGCACTACGCGACGTGCAAAGCCAACGACCAGGGCATTCCCGAGTGTGTCTGTCCCCAAGTCTGCATTCGGTACGTTAGCTGATAGCGACGTGTTTGTCTTTGCTTGCGATCACTCATTTGCGCTGTTTACTCTAATGAGCCCTCTCTTTCTCTCTTCCAGCGATACCGATAATCCGGGCTTCTCCACTGTGTGCGGCAGTAACGGTAACAATTAGCAGCATGCTTCAGTGCATCCAGCCGGCTGGTTGGCGCTATTTGTAAGCAAAGTATATACTTAATACTGAAATTTAATAAGGCGTGACATATGAAAATGAATGCGAACTTGCAGTAGCATCCTGTCGTCTGCAGCAACATATCACCGTCCAATTCAATGGCAGTTGCGGTAAGTGTTGTCGTCTACTTTTTCTTCTTCTTTTGATTTCCCCTTCTTTACGCCACTCTTCTCCCACTGCCGCTAGATTTGTGTCACAATGTGGTCTGTCTTTACGGTAAATCAGCTCTAATGGTGACAAAATTAGTACTAATCCATTTATGGACCTCATCTCTCGCGCAATAGGGGCCACTTGCGTCAAAGGAGAGTGTGTTTGCGCAGAGAACTGCACCACTAACAACGATTCAGAGCTATTGTGCGCTAATGGTAGGTACTGATAAGGCAATTGATTAACACTTTACAGCCAACAACTGACGACGAAATGATATGAGAGAGCTACCCGGGGCTCACATTCACGCGTGCCAGTGCCCAGCGACGATGAACAATGTGGGCACACCGATACTAATGACTCTTCTTTTGTGCCATTAGACGGCAACACTTACACCGAATGTGAAATGCGTTTACAAGCTTGTAAAAATACAAAAGAGCTCATTGCGTAAGTATAGAACGTAGCCTAATCCATGTAGATCTTCCACTTTAACTTATCTGCAAATCTGCCTTTGTTTCACGCGAACCCGCATGTCGCATGTTTAATCCACAGTATTGATTTGTTCAAAGTAGTTGTCTTACGGAAAAGACTAACCAAACCACTTGCCTCCGGACAAACAGTTTGTTCTACGGTAAATGCGAGGAGAACAAGGAAACTTATTTGGAAGACTCCAACAATGAGCTGGCCACACAGTCGACCAGTCTGATGGCCTGGGTCGATACGGAACGGCAAAGCGAGTGCCAGCATTTGGTAGATAGCAGGGTGATCCATCTGGACATGTCTCCTCACTTTCTGCTTCTCTTCATTGCAGCTGCAAACGTGCAAGACGACGCACTCGGAACAAGAGCATATCTACATTTGCGGTAAGTAAGCACACACACAGAAAAAGAAAGTAGCACTGAATCGACTGCTTAACATAATCGTGTCCACCTGCATGGCAAACTGACTCCAAACTGACTCCCAACAGAGGACCTTATGTTTCGCTCAAAATGTGAAATGATTGAATTCAAGTGTCTCAATGCAAACAACCAACTCAAGTGCTCCAAATGTAAATACTTCATATTCTTTGTGATGAGGGCTCAGCACTGAACTGACTGACGTTTACCCTGGTCCACAGACTGCCACTGCAATAAGCACGGAATCAAAACCAACAGCTTTCAATGCCACCCTCTGACTGGGCAGTGCGACTGCAAAGAGGGGGTCACCGGGCTCAAATGCGACAAGTGCTCTAACAAGTTTTGGAACTTTCAAGCACTCATTGGTACGGTCATTGGGTGAACCTTCCAATTCTCTTACCCCTCATACTCATGATGTCTGCTTCCATTTTTTTCAGATAATCCAACTTCAAATGGATGCCAACGTGGGTGACCGTTTCCAGTTGTGCATTTGAATACTTATAATTTACAGTAAAAAATAACTTTGTTAACAGCTTGCAAATGCAATCGCATCGGATCAGTGAGTGAAGATTGCGATAGAGTGTCGGGTAAATAGATTTCAAATGGCTGACATCAACTTTGAAAATCAAACACTGCCTTTTCAAATACTCACAGGAAAGTGTCGGTGTCGGCCAGGCGTAAAGGGCCTACAGTGCGACCAGTGTCCCCCTCACTGGCACCTGGCCGGACACGGCTGCGTTCCAGGGCCGAGTCACTCGTGTCAGCGTCTGAAGTGCCAGTACGGCGCTGTCTGTCGTCAGATGGGAACCCGAGTGGAGTGCTCTTGTCAACTCAACTGTTCAGTGCATAATCAATCAGCAACATCTCCAGTTTGGTTTGTAGCACACAAACACTCTCCCCCTTAAACTTGCTTCAATCTAACGTACATTTTTCACTCTTCCCAACTTCAGTGCCTCTGATGGAACACAGCATCCATCGCTCTGCCATTTTCGTGAGCACATGTGTCGGCTGCAGAAGAGAATTCATATAGTGAAAAACTGCCCAAATACATAACTTGCTGGTACCACAAGAAATGTAGTCACTAGCACTACAAACATTGTTCTTTTTACAACCTGTTAGCTTTCGTAAAGTTGTCTTGTTTTGTTTTCAAATGTACATCCAGTGATTTTGGCAATAAAATATTTACAATAAATAAAACAATTGCCTTTGCTTTATGAAAAATCCCGATTCTCAAAACGGTCACAGTCGTAAAAAGATGCTTTTACAATACGGCCGCCAAAATAACGACCATTCAAGTCTGTTAATGCTAAAAATAAATTGAAAATNACCTTTGCTTTATGAAAAATCCCGATTCTCAAAACGGTCACAGTCGTAAAAAGATGCTTTTACAATACGGCCACCAAAATAACGACCATTCAAGTCTGTTAATGCTAAAAATAAATTGAAAATAAACTTAAAAGTAAGAATAAAAAATTAAAGTTATCGACAAACCTTTAATGGCCGATTCGACACGAAAAAACTCCACGAAAATGAGTACAGCATCTTCATCATTTTCATACTCATCGCGTTCAAAGATGACACACCGAGACACTGGACCATATTTAGAGCATTCTTCTTTAGTTTCCGGCTCAAGTTCTTCGTCAACTTCCCCAGGTCCAACCATATTGCGTAGTAGAACAACAGTGGTTGGCGTTAAAGGATCTTCGGGTTTCTTAGCATCGCTTTCAATGACGATTTTCCCGTGTGTTTTGCTGGTTTTTTCAACCTGTAAAGCTTTGCTGATTCCTTGCTCTTCTTTTCCAAGTCCTTGGCCCTCTCTGTATCCCATTTTGACCATAATTTTAGCAGCGACCGAACTTACGCCAAATCCAACTGAGTTGGTCACCTTTTCAACATTTAACATTAAAGATGGTGGAGGAGCAATAGATGCATTTGCTCGGGATTTCACTTTATCAGGCTTCGCTTCATCCTCGTACTCGTCATCGTCGTCATCGTAGTCTAGCCCTAAACTTCGAGTAGCCACTACTTGAATATTAACATTTTCCTTTTTAGCTTTTTTCAATTCGAGTTCCTTCTCTCTGCTTTCAGTCCGGTCTTTGAGAATTTTCTCGTAATCATTTGGCCATCTCGGATCGTATTCGTCGTCCCAATCACCACCGAGAGACGTGGAATTTTTTCCTGTCGCTGCTGGCGTTGTTGTCGTAAAATTAGTCCCTGCAATTTGAACTGGAGCGAACTCATTTGGGTGTTTTGATTGACGAACACTGGGAGGAATCAGCTTGCGAGTTATGGGGTTGTTGGGTTGCTGGATTAACTTAATTAGTTGAGTTTGCATTAATCATCATTTCAAATGTACCTTTGTTAAACTTTGGGTCGTTCTTTTTAAATGGAGATGATCTTGAAGCAGTTTTATACTTGATGTTTTTGAAGCTGACCATTCTAGATTAAAGACGAGTAATTAAAAAAGATAAACATAATGGTCCAAACATTCAGGCTACTAACCATTTGAATCGGCCTCTTCATTTCCAATAATGTCATCGTAAAGAGACATTTTTGAGATAATTTGTGGTAAGTTATTTTGAAATTCAAGTTGTTTTTTGTTTTGTTTTCAAATGTCTCTGGCCGCACTGCTCGCAGAGACACCTAGCGAGTTTATTCTGCAAATTGACAGTTAGTTTCAGAAACTGCTGTGGCGCGAACAGAAATCTAATTGTTCTTAATCAAAAACACTAAACTTTATTAAAGTAATAGAATACAGAAGCACAAGACCAAGTCGACAGTTCCGTTAATGGGGTTTATTACAAGCAGGTGAATGAAATGATTCAATGACAAGGAAAAGGGGGGAAAGAGGAAGAAGGTGGACACGGGAAAAGAGGGGAAGGTTTATCACAGTACATTTGAAAATGCCTAATTTGAGGGCAAAAGGTGGTGCTTCAGAGAGTGAATCACTTTCGGTTTTGCGATTGAATGATGGGAGAGGATATCGTCGTTGGGTCGGCAACCATAAAGGGAGTCTGGTTCGGCAGATGATTCGAGTTCATGAACATGCTCGCACTCATGTTCCACGGTGTCTGTTGTAGTTGCAGCTGTTGTTGATGTTGTTGCTGCTGCTGCTGATGCTGATGCTGCACTGAACTATTGCCGCCCTTTTTGGAAATTATTTGTGTCTCGCCATGCTTGAAAGTAACAAAATCTTTCAGATTAACTCGCCTTTTTTCCAAGGCTTCACGAAGCAGTCGTGGTGGATCTAAAAAATATTCGTTGGAAAGGGCAAAAGTGCCCCAGTGAATAGCGATTGAAAAAATGGACTGCAAATCCTGGTGAATTCGCACTGCCTCTTCTGGATTGACGTGCTGATGTTTCATAAACCAGCGAGGTTCGTAGGCGCCGATCGGAATTGCCGCAACGTTGAAAGGCCCGTAAACGAGACCGATCTGCTTGAAGATGCTGCAGTAACCGGTGTCTCCAGCAAAGAAGAAACGAAAGTTTGGACCCTTGATGACCCAACTGCCCCAGAGGGTTTTGTTCTCGTCGGTGAGGGTTCGCTTGCTCCAGTGCTGACTGGGGGTGAAGACAAAAGACACTGCAGTGCGAGGCAGACAAAACATTACTTTCGATCTAATTCACGGCTCACTTGATCAAACTTGCCATCACTTTTGTCCGCCACACAGTTCTCTTCCCACCAGTCCAACTCGACGACGTTCTCACAGCCAACACTGTTGAACCAGTCAGCTAAAAAGACATTAAAATCAGGGCATTAAAGTCAGCACTACAAACCACAATAACTTACCAAGTCCAAGTGGAATGAACCAGCGTAGGTCACTGCCAAAACGAGCATTCAGTATGACCACCGAGTTCAAGTCAAGGTGGTCATAGTGTGAGTGTGATATGACCACGGCATCCAAATTGGATGGCAAATCATGGATCTGTATGCAGATGGCACGTTCACAAGATTAGTAGTGATTGAGGATTAGGTAGGCACTGATTGCACTCACTGTGCATGGAGGATCTCGATATCGTTTTGGACCTATAACCTGACTTGGCGATGCGCGATCGCTGAAAATGGGATCAGTGAGAACGGCGATGTTGTCGAACTCTGCCAGAATGGTTGCGTGACCAAGCCAGGTAACGCGAAAGGCGTCTGCTGGAGGACTACTCTTGATCTTTGGCTCGACAATTGGCAAAAGAGAATTGAGTTCCTTCAAAAAAATTGGGGAGAATTACTGGTGGTGAGTGTTACCCGGTAATAACAACCGTTCGTTACCTGTTTGGATGACACATTGCTTTTGTCTGGAGAAAAGCCCAATTTGAGTATACTAGTAAAGGTCTGAGCCTTGTAGTCGGGCCATGGGTTGTGAAATTTACCGTTCTCGAAAACGGATGGCTGCAAGTCGAAGCTATTGACGACTGTGTCCCGTTTCACCACCTGACTGGGCGTCGGACTGTCTCCCCCGCTAACACTGCCAACTGGTGACAGGGGAACGGGGCTGCTAATGTCCAGGGACGTGCTGCACAGACTTCGCACTGAGCTGATTCGGCTGTTGGTTCGACTGAGGTCGTAGTGATTCGAGGAAGGCACCAGCAGCGAGTTGCCATCCAGCTCGATGTCCACTGGACGAGAGGGCAGCTCTGCCCGTTCACTATCGTAACGGTGCTTGTCCTGGTCGAGTGGGCGAACGAGAGTATTCAGTCAGTGTGTTT